CCCCGCCCCCGCGCCAATGACGCAATGCCCAGCCCGCAGAAGCTCCGCGTGGGTGGGCCCTTCCTCGGGGGCGCGCGGTCAGGCCTTGCGTGCCGATGCCGCGAATCTCTGGCTGTGCGGGCAGCCCCCAGCGAGGGGTATAGGACACCTGCGGGCGTCTGGAGGTTTGCGCGGGCCGTCGCCTCACCCCGCGCGCAGCCCATCGTGTCTGCAGGATGCCCAGCGGCCGGCTGGGGGGCTCGGCTGGGTCGCACTTGTCGTAACCCTTAAACTTTTTTTTTTTTCCTTTACTGCGCTCTCAGCTCTTTCGGCTTTCTCGTTTCACTTTTGTCATCAGAAAAATGAGATGTTTTCCAGAAGCGCAGGTATCTTAGGGAACATAGCGTAGACAGGTAATCCCGTTCCTTTTTAAAGAAAATTGCTGTTAGCAGCTTGGTGACGATTTCCTGATTATTCGCATTCTCGTGCCTGTGTCACCCCGATGTGAATGACGGTTCCTGGGGCACAGTGGGGTAGTGCCGTCTTACTGTTAAAGCGGGCTTTCCTCACTTGCAGGGCCTTGTTCTGTTTTTAAAGCTGCGGGGCCTCCCGCAGGCGAGCCGTTGTCTTGTCGACGACGGGCAAGGTGCAGGACGAAGACAGCTGCTGCAGTGAGCGTTCTTCCCGTGGAAATGAGTGGGGTTTTGTAGGACAGTTTATTGGACGTGAAATGCCGGGTCAGAGGAGTGCCGTTTTGGGCTGTAGTGATCATCCCGCACAGTGCCGTTCTGAAATCCTCGCTTAGAGGCTCCTGAGAGGGAAATTCCAGAAATGGATGGGCTAAGACAGACTGAGATGTGAGACCTGGCACCAGTCTCCCTGTAAAAGATCCTCAGATCCCCAGCTCAGAGAGCTCGCGGTCTGGTGGTCACTGGATCCGGCGTTAGTCCTTATCGGCGCAGATAAACTTGCCAGTTTCTGCTTCCCTTGCAACTTGTGTCCGTCTTACTCGGCTGCTAAGACAAGACAAAAACCCGAGAGGCGTTGGGTTACAGCTCCTGAGGGGTCGTGTTTCCCTCATCAGCAACCCCGGTTAGCTTTGTTAGTAGGTGTAAGGGTATGAAAATCATACGCCGTTGTTGTAGTTTACATTTCTTGAACTATGAACGTAGTGGAGCGTGTCTTCCATGTTTATTGACCATTTGTGATTTTTTCTGAGTCGTTTATGCCCTTGACTGTTCTTTATTGGATTGCTGGTGGTCCTTTTCTAATTGATTTGTTCGAGTGCACTTCATAGTTTAGATTATTGCAGTTATCAGAAGCTAACACTCGTCGATAACACTTACCACCCTGTGCTAAGGGCTTCATGTATATTGACCCAGATGAAGTAGGAACTGTTATTCTCTCATTTTTTTCCATGAGGAAATAGGCACAGAGAGGTTAGCACTTATTCAAGATCACACAGCTGGTAGATGGAAAAGTGGGGATTTGGTTCCAAGCACCCAGCCCTAGAGTCTGGGCAGCCGGTGGGCACTGCCGTGTCTGTCTGTCTCTGACGTTGGTCATGGCTCTTTCTGTCGAGGTGCTGTGTCTCATGATGTGCCTGGGGGGGATCGCAGCTAACGCGGCATGGACGCTTCCAGGCCCTGCACCATGGTCTGCACAGGGTCTCTTCATCCTCACCCTGATCCGTGGAAGTGGTTGGCACCAGACTCACTCCTGATTTTATTCTTCCCCAGAGAGAAACTGGTTTTTAGTTACATTTATGGTATACATTAAAGTATGCACACCAATATGAGACAAAGGCATCATAAGAAAAGACAATTATAGTTTATTGTTTCTCACAAACATAGGTGCAAACATCCTCAATTAGATCAAATTCAGCAGTTTATAAAAAGGCTGATTCATCATTACCATGTGGGGTTTATCCCAGAAATGCAAGGCTGGTTCAACATTCAAAAATTAATCTGTGCGCCTGGCTCCTGATTTTACAGATGAGGAAACAGCCCCAGAGGTCGCGTCCCCTGCCAATGCCACGCGGTTATTGCGCTGCCCAGCCTGGACTCACCCTTCCAGCGCTGAGCCTTTGCTTTCAGAAGGGGCTTCTCACCCAAGGCATGTAAATGGCCTCCGATGTTTCTCCTGTGCTTCTGTTTTTCAGAACTTTCCTAGAGAAACGTGTACAAAATGTAGCCCAACAGCTAGCTCAGTGACTGACTCATCAATGGGTCACCCCACCTTGGACTAGAAATCAAACACAAGCTTTCAGTTCTTTCTATGATTATTGATCTATTCAGCAGACCTGCTCAATTTAGTAAATATTTCCTTAGAGAAAATCCCTTTTAGAAGATATTTACCTTTTTTCCAGCAAAGGATTTATATCCCAGATAAAGAACTACAAATCAGAAAGAAAAGATATGACAAGCCAATTTTTTATAAATAGGCAAAAGATGTGGGCAGACACTATCTAAATGGGCAGTAAGCATCTGAAGAGTTTCTGTATCGTTGGTCATCCAGGAGATGGGGCACCACTGAGCCCCTCGAAGTGGCTAAACCTAAGACTGATAGTACCAGCTATGACCAGGATGTGGAGCAACTGTGACTCCTGCACACTGTCACTGGGCTCTGAACTTGGCACAGACACTTTGCAAAGCTGTTTGACAGTGTCTGCTGAAGCTGAGCACACACGCGGACCCAGAAACTCCACTCTTGGGTACACTGTTGTTCGGTAATGTCGAGTTGGTTCCCACTGGTAGCGACCTTAATATATACCAGAACAAAACGTTACCTGATCCTGCACCATCCTCAAAATAGTAGGTATGTTTGAGCCCATTTTCACAGCCACCATGTCATTCCATCTCGTTTAGGGTCTTTCTGTTTTTCACTAACCCTCCACCAAGCATGATGTCCTTCTCCGGGGATTGTTCTCTCCTGATAACACGTCCAAAGTAAATGAGATGAAGTTTCAGCATCCACCCTGCTAAGGAACGTTCTGGTCGTATATCTTCCAACACAGATTTGTTTCTTTTTCTAGCAGTCTATGATATGTTCAATATTCCTGTCCAATACCAAAATTGAAATGTGCCAATTCTTCTTTGGTCTTCCTTATTCATTGTCCAATTTTCCCATGTGTATGAGATAGTTGATAACACCATGGCTTGGGTCAGACACATCTTAGTCCTTAAACTGACATCTTGATTTTTAACAGTTTAAAGAGATCTTTTGCAGCAGATTTATCCGATGCAATACGTCATTTGATTTCTTGACTGTTGCTTCCACGGATCCAAGTAAAATGAATTCCTTGACAATTTCAATATTTTCTCCGTTTATCATGATGTTGCTCATTGGTCCAGTTGTGAGGATTTCTGTTTTCTTTATGTTGAGGTGTAATCCATACTGAAGGCTGTAGTCTTTCATCTTCCTCAGTAAGCACTTCAAGTCCTCTTCACTTTCAGCAAGCGAGATTGTGTCATGTGTATATTGCAGGTTGTTAATTAGTCTTTCTCCAATCCTGATGCCACGTTCTTCATATAGTCCAGCTTCTTGAATTATTTGTTCTGCATACAGATTGAATAAGTATGGTAAAAGGATACAGCCCTGGTGCACACTTTTTCCGATTTTAAACTATGCAGTATCTACTTGTTCTCTTCGAGCAGTTACCTCTTGATCTATGTACAGGTTCCATAATTTGTTATGACGCACACAGTCAAATTCCTTTGGGAGTTACAAAAACACAGGTAAACGTCTTTCTGGTATTCTCTGCTTTCAGCCAAGATCCATCTGACATCGGCAGTGATGTCCCTCATTCCACATACTCTTCTGAATCTGGTTTGAATTTCTAGCAGTTCCCTGTTGATGTACGACTGCAGCTGTTTTTGAAATATCTTCAACAGTATTTTACTAGCATGTGATATTAATGACATTGTTTTATAATTTCCACATTCTGTTGGATCACCTTTCTTTGGAATGGGCACAGATATATAGATCTCTTCCAGTAGGTTGGCCAAATAACTGTCTTCCAAATTTCCTGGCATAGAAAAGTGAGCATTTCCAGCGTTACATAAAGGTGACTATACACGTGGACCTCGCCAGATGGATTACACAGGAATCAAATCGATTGCATCTGTGGAAAGAGACAGTGGAAAAGCTCAATATCATCAGTCAGAACAAGACCAGAAACTGATTACAGAACAGACCATCAATTGCTCAAATGCAAGTTCAAGTTGAAGCTGAAGCGAATTAGAGCAAGTCCACGAGAGCCAAAATACGACCTTGAGTATCTCCCGCCTGAATTTAAATACCATCTCAAGAATAAATTTGCTGCATTGAACACTAATAACCTAAGACAGGACGAGTTGTGGGAAGACATCAAGGACATCATACATGAAGAAAGAAAAAGGTCATCAAAAAGACAGGTAAGAAAGAAAAGACCAAAATGGATGTCAGAAGAGACTCTGAAACTTGC